TAATATATGTATTACATCACCTTTCATTTTTGTACAATATATGATATTTCCTCATGAAGTTTCCACCAATTCCCCTGTGCACCATCACCATAGCCCCTTGTGCTCTTCCCGCCTCTGTGCTGATCTTTTTCCCTTCTCCTCCCTTACAGAATGTCTCTGATCTATAGTTGTCTGATGATTTTGATTTTTACTTTATTATAGTTACTTTTTCTTCATGATTCCTTATTTGATTTCTCCACATTCCTCCTGTGAAACCATTCAATATTTTTTATTTTTCTTTCTGCTTATTTTACTAATCATAATACCTTCCAGCTCCATCCATGTTCCTGCAAAGGGCATGAGCTTATCCTTTTTGATCGTTGAGTAATATTCCATTATGTAGATGCACTGGGGTATTAGACCTAACCTCCACATGGTCCTCTAGGAGGACTGATCTGAGTATGTGCAGGAGAGAGGAATGGAGAGAGAGAATAAATATATGTTCCTTGAACTTGGCTTTGAGAACCTCTTTTCCATAAGAAGTGTGAGTTTCTTGTGAATGAAAATAAATTGTTATGGAAAGGAGGTCCTCAAAGTCAAGTTCAAGGAACATATATTTATTCTCTCTCTCTTGCACATACTCAGACCATTCCTCCTTGAGGACCATGAGGAGGTTAGGTCTAATACCCCATGCTCAGTTCATGCTCTACAGGTGTACACACATAGAGGAACTTGAGCAATCAGGGTTGCACTCAGAAGTAGGCATAACTATTTAGGCAACAATATGGGCTAGATAACTGGAAGAAGGCATACAAACAGAAGAAATGGGCTGAGTAGATATATTTTGGGGCTTAATGGTGAGTAATAACTTCTCAGATACTTCCAAGTTCAAAACCAATTGAGATTCACAGAAAGCAGGAGACAGAAATTTTAAATACAGGGTTTCTATTGTGAGAATCTCAATAGAAGGGCAAGGATATCTTCCCATTTAGCCAGACAGAATTGCCAACTCACTCAGAAGTGGGGAAAGAGAACTAGAGAGTTATTTTAATAGAAATACACCCAAATGGAAACACAAAGAGAATAGAATGAAGTATTCCAATCCTTTCTGACCTGAAGTGTTTTTCATTCAGAAAGGAGTCAGAAGTACTGTGTGGAAATGTGTGTTCAAATTAGAATTTCTAGAAAGTTCAGCAAAGAAAGAAAGTTAAAAAAAAAAAAGAAAACAGAGAATAACTGCTATTTAAGTCTTCTTTTTTCCTAAAAGATAAACTGGTAACTAGGGTTCTAATGAAGAATAGTCTCTGTTGAGGATTTTAAAAAATATGTTTATTTATGCATACATAACTGGGGTACAGGTCAAAGGTGCAGGGATGGTGAGAGGATTCACCAGAGACAGAGTGGGAAACAGAACAAGCATTCTGACGAAGAACACTGCTGAGGGGAGCAGCGGGCAGGTCAGGAGAGGTCTGCCATGCCTTGTGGTCACTTCTGGGGCAGGCGGGGATCAAATTCATGCTGAAGTGGCTTTAGCTTTTAGTGCTGTGCTTTAACCCCCTGCACCACCAGGGAGGGCCCACAAACACTGATTTTTTTTTTTAATTAGTAAAGAAGCAAGACTATCCAGTTATCTGGATTTTTTTTTTTTTAATGAGGTGGAAGCACAAAACCACTTTTAAATTTTTGCTCCCTAATTCTGCTGTTTGGTCTTGCCATGTCTGTCACTTCTTGTGATCCTTCTTGACTTTCAAGTATTAGCATAATATTTTAACTATTAGCAGGATCCCAATTCCCTGTAAATCCTCTTTAACAATCTGATATTCCTGGATGAGATTATCCACTACAAATGACTTCAACTTCAATCCAAATGTGTATTATCAGCGACTGCAATTCTCTTGAAATTTCTGCCTGCCTACTGGACATTCCACCTTTATTTCCTTCACAGCTTCACATACTTTAGAGTGAATTCATTCATTATTTGTCTCTTGGCTACCTCATATATCTGTATGCGTGTGCGTGTACACACACACACACACATACATATCTCTGGATTCATTTCTATGCTTTATTTTCACTTGCTTCATCTCCATCATCAAGTTTTTGTTGGCAAATATTTTATGTTTAGCCACTTGTCAGGAAGTTGTCATAGGATTTGCAAACTGTAGTGGAACTTCAAAAAACAGGTAGCTCAAACCCCACAATTTATAGAGAGGAGGAGTGACCTGCTTAATATCACACAGTCATTAAATTGCAAAACCAGTTTAAAATCCAGGCAGGCATCTCAAATTCAGCCTGTCCACTATTCAATCACGCTCCCACTAACTGTACTTCCAGAAAGGAATGAGAGACTTACTACCAACACTTATTTTTTAATAGATTTATTTATTTATGCATACAGAGCTGGGGTACAGGCCAGAGATGCAGGGGAGGTGAGAGGATTTACCAGAGACAGAGTGGGGAGCAGAACAGGCAGATCAATGAAGTACACTGCTGAGGGAAGCAGAGGGCAAGTCCGAAGAGGTTTGCTGCTCCATGTGGTCACCTCCTGGGCTGGGATCAAACTCATGTGGAAGTGGCTTTAGCTTCTCAGTGCTGTGCTTTAACCTGCTGCGCCACCAGGGAGTGCCCACAAACACTGTTTTTTGTTTTTGTTTTTGTTTTTTTTTAATTAGTAAAGAAGCAAGACTCTCCAGTCAACCTATGTTCAAAATGTGCACTTATGTTCTGTTTGCATCAAATTGTAATTCATGTTTTTCTGCTTTAGTGATGGAAAGGATAAAATAAAAGAGTGCATCAAGATGTCAGTGTGGAGTAACGCTTGGAATGAAAATAGATTAGCTAAGGGTGAACTCAGTGCTTGCTTTCAAAATATGGTTCTGAGCCCCCCCTTTTTTCTTTACTTTTTCCTTACCAAAGGAAAAAAGTGTTTTCATATAATTATTTCATTTTAGTTCTCCACAGGCCTAGGAGCTCAGAAGGTCAGAGTTTATTAGCTGAAGTTTACAGATGAAGAAAATGAGAGTGAAACCAGTGAGTTCAGTGATTTGCCCAAGGCTACCCATCTAGTTAGTGACAAGGCCAGGGCTCACATGTGTCTCCTGCTTCCAAATCTCTTTCCTCTAGTCTAGACATATAATTCTAGTAGTCCTTGAGTGCTGACTCCATATCCTGTGCACTGAACTTTGCAGATTTCAATGTACTGAGACTGAAAGTTGCTGAGTTCTACCAAGTGACCGTCATGGAGATAATAGTCTTATCCCAAAAAGAAAAGTTAAGTTTCAAGGAGGAAAGAGCAAATGAATGCTATGTCATAGGTTGACACACAAAGTTTGAAAGGCTGAAGCTGTCTCATATGAATCATCTCTAAGGACCTTTAAAATGTGGGTTGTAAATAGCCAAACTGTAGTATTTATTAGGAAAAGTCAGCTTAGAGCCATGTGATGCACACTGAGCAGAAACGACTGTGAAAAGAGGGGAGCCTGAGAGTGAAGTTTCAGGGGTCGGGTGGAGCACAGACCAAGTTCAAGTTTGTTCAAGAGGTAGTGACAGGTGAGAATATAGAAGCAGAGAGAGAAAACTTTCTGGCATTAGGATCCTTCACAGTGAGGGAAAAGCTGCATGCTCGGGGCAACCTTTCAAAATGACCCCGCATACCTGGTGGGCACACTGCAGCCTATGCACACAGCCAGAGACGGAACAGGCCGAGAGAGAGAGAGAGAGAGAGAGAGAGAGAGAGAGAGAGAGGCATGTCCTGTTGAGTCAGAACTGAGCCAGCCCTGGGGACTTTCCTTGAAGCCCTTTTAAAAGCCCCTACCTGTATGTGCCTTCCAAGAAAACCTGGGGGTAGGGGAGGGAGACAGTGAGAGAAACTCTGGATCAGAACTTGGAAATCAGCACAAGCTTTAGAAACAAATTCATGTTCAAGATGATTACTGTGGGCATTTCTTTGATCTGTTCTAAAAGCCCAGCTCAGAAACTACAGCCTCAAGCATGAACGGATGAGCAGAGATGTTCTGGACCCTGAACATAGCTGATACTTTCAAAAGGCGAAACATTGTTAATGGACCGGCTTATCCATGGATGCTCTTCCTGTAGGTTTGTTTAGGAGTGGAAACAATAAGGCTAGTCATGAAGTTTGCTGATTCCTGGCTGGGTCATCTCAGTGGGGCAAGTGCAAGGCCTTGCCAGGAACTCCAGATGACTGGAACATACACAAGCTCATAGAAGCCAGAGCTGAGCCTGGGTAAAGCTAAGCCCGGGCAGGGGGCATCCTCAAAGTGCTTCTTTATTTAAACTATGCTCGGGGCAATGTTTCATAATGACCCCACACACCTAGTGCGCACAGCAGCCTATGCACACAGCTCCACTGTGTTCCCTGGCCTGCTTACTTTACTTTCCATCCCTCTAGGCAGGGTCCACAAATTAGCAGTCTCCTGGCCCTCCCAGGCCCGGGTTCTCTGGACCTTCAGAAGAAAAGGGCAGTCAGAGAAACAGGAACGCTGAAATCTCTAACCGGGAAACCAGCGTTCCTGCCCACTGGGCCACGCGGGCCATCCACACTCAACTTTCACCTCCCCTTGCCTAGGCTGGCTGGAGAGGCGGGGAACCCGGCAGTAAGGAGGAGGACCAAAGAGAGGGCCTGCTTGAATGAAACAATGTAACAATTGATGTGAGGCCTCGCCTGGCTCCCACTCCCCAGTGATCCTATAGGCGAGGACCCAGTGACTGCCCCTCTCCATTGCTCCGTTTTCTTGTCCGTTAGCGCTATCCCTCCGCCTCTCCTTTCTTTTCTTTTCTTTACTTTTTTTCCCTTCTCCTTTCCCCCCTCTCTCCCCCTTTCTCCAGCTCCGTGTCATTTCCTCCTTGTGCTCGCTCGCTGCCAGAGAGTCTCCAGCCTGGAGAGTAGGCGGAGCGGGGCGGTGCGGGGTGGCGCAGCGCTGGAGGGCAATGGTGGCGGAGCCGCTGGGGGCGGAGGCAACGTAGCCCCCGCGGAAAAGGAGCCCCGCGGCGCCTCAGCCAAGTGGAGGATGGAGAACCGGCCTGGGTCCTTCCAGTACGTCCCGGTGCAGCTGCAAGGGGGGGCGCCCTGGGGCTTCACCCTGAAGGGGGGTCTGGAACACTGCGAACCGCTCACGGTGTCTAAGGTAAGAAGTGGCGGCTCTGTCCCACCAGTGCCCAACTTTGAATGGACCAGCGGTGAGCGGGCTGCAGCGATACAGGGCCCTCAGACCAACTTTGAAGGGTAGCTTGGCTGACTGCGAACGTCCCCCCAGGAAGCTTTCTCCGCAGGGAAGGATCTCGCCACCAGCCTAGGCGCAGACACCTTCTAAGGGTGGCGGGAGCAGAGGAGGAGAGTGTGGCTGGCTCTGAGGCTGAGCCCTGCGCACAGGCACTCTCGGGAGGGCTTTGGGGCAGACTCTGCTCCCCCACGTCGGGGTAGCTGTGCCCCTCAGTTTGAGCTGGAAGAAGGGGTGGCTGTTGGGGTTTTTTCCTTGGAAGGTCCCGCGCCCCAGCGGGACAGGGAGGGGTGGGAGGAACAGGCAACCCAACTTGGCAGCTTTCTTAGCAGCAGTGGCCCTCTACAGATTCCTGGGCTGTCCCTTCGGGCAGGTTGCAGGGTGAGGGTCTGGCGGGGAGCTGTGGTGAGACGTTGGTGGCTTTCGAGCAGCCTCACTTCCCACGCGCACATCCATTCAGCTGGCGGGGCGTAGCTGCTGCCGCTTGAGCTCGGCCTTTGCCTCTCTCCCGAGTCCTGCCCCAGGGCCGGCGAGATTTCCTGCACGTTGAGAAGTGTGGAGGAAACTTTTGCGCCATGAAGCACAGCTGTGCTGGAGCTGCCTTCGCCGCCGCCGCCAGGGTTTGTTTGTTTTAGGAGACTCTGATCTGCTGGAAGCCAAGTTGCCGCAGAGGACAGGGGCGAGGCGCTCTCCTGAGTGCCCCAGAGCCCCCCCCCCCTCCCAAGCCAGCCGCCCACGTAGGGGTGAGGATTGGTGAGGGCCTCTGAGGAGGTTACAGGGGAGAAACCCCTGGAAGATGCACCTTGAGGTGCCAGATAGCAAGTGAAAGAACTTCATGAACTTTAGCCCTTTTTTGTTGTTGTTTGTTTTTGTTTCTCTTGAATGGTCAAATCTGAAAAGTTCTCTCCCTTTCAGCCCCCTCGAAATGCAGTTGAGATCATAGAGATGGGTTTGGGTTGGAGATGGAAAGGTGGATTCGCAGTGTGGAACAAATGTCACTTTATTGGGGGGGGGGTGACTGTCAGTCATGTCTCAGCAGGGGTAGAAAGTTGGGGGCAGACACACACCTGCACTGCTTTGGTCTTGCATTGGAACAGCTAGTTAACTTGTAGTATAGGGTGTCTTTCAGGCCTGGGGGCCCACACTTGGCAACCCTGGGGTGTTGCCATGAGGTACACCAATCATCTTGAGCAGTCTACCCTGTGCTGAGGGGCTATCAGGAATACTTGGGATCTTAAACCTCCCCAAGTACCAATTACCAGCCCAGGATCTTCGTCCTGCACCTCCTCACCCCCTGCTAGTTATGAATTTGAAACCATCCTGAGATGCCTTTGTCAACCACCCACCATTACATCCCCTCTTAAGACACACACCACCAGTGTTCTCTGGGGGAAAATAATAAAGTTTAAAACAAATATCCCACTCTCTCACACAATCCCTTTGGGGAGGGGATCCTGGTCTAAATTGCTTCTGATTGGACTCCTCTACCTCAGCTGCCCACCAACGTTACAACTGGCTATGCAGCCCTCCATTGTCTAGAGATTCCCCTCTTCTTACTCTCTTTACACCACTCACAGAATTTCCACTCTGCCTAGACAACCTGCATGAGCCATTGTGAGCGACACCCCAGAGTGCTCACTGCTATGGTCTCAGCTTCTTCTGCAAGGCAGTGCAGGCATGGTTGGGGTGTTACTAAGTACGGGGCAGCCAGCAATTTGTGGTCTGGCTGGGGGATTATTTGAGGGTAGATGAGGGTTTCCTTGGCCAAGCCTTTGAGGAAGTGACTGGTGTGTTGAGAGGCAGGGTGCCTTTTAATGATTCCCTTTCCGCTGAATGTACAGTTGACCCCAGTTATATGAAGGCTCATTATTATTACACTCATTTGGATATGCAGGGAGTAAAATCATTTCTCTCGTCCTTCCCTAATAGCTCCACTCCTTACAGTAAAAGTCAGCTGTATATTACTCAGTTATCCCCAGCATTAGAGTACTTTTTCGTGCAATATTAGCCTGTACTTTTTTTTCTTGCCAAGACACTCTGTACCATATTTAATTGGTTCCCTTTTTGTTTGCTGTCTACTTGAAAATGACCTCAGTCTGCACACACTAGTGAGGAGAAGGTTGGAGGGGGTAGAAAGAGAATTGGAGCAACAGGGCATTGCCAACCTGGGTCTAGTTTGTGACTTAGGCCATCACTAGCCATGGCATCCTACATACAGTGCCAGGCCTCCTATAGGTGCTCCCATGTGCAGGAGGGTTCTAGGTGGGCATTAGCTAAGACTGTGGCAGTGAAGCGGTCAGTCTTCTCTTACTTCTGGTCCTTTTCTCCTCTTAAGTGTTGTGGATGGAGGAACATGGCACTTTGTTCACTGGCATACCGCAGTACTGCTTATTGGATTTCCCCACCTCTGATTTCTATCAGCCTTCCTATCAGGCAGTCAGGGAAGGTTGTGAGGAAAGTGTTGGAATAATTGAAGTTGTAATGCATTGAGTGGCTTGCCTTAGTTTTTCATAAGTGAGTCAATGGTAACTTCAAGTTTATTGTGTCTTCTACTACTTGCAGAGTTGTTTGATATTTTTTTGGTAGTGTTGTAGCTTGTGAAGGGGCCTAGGGCAATACCTTTTGGGTGATGTATCCATTCTTGGCAGCCTCCCATCCCAGCAGCCCTTTCCATGGTAGCCCATAGTTCGCAGGAGAAGTCTTGGCTATAGGTACTCTCTGTTGGAATTTGAGCTCACAGAATAGAAGGGGACTGTTTTGTGAGACCAGATCACCTTGGGCGCAGCAGAGACAGATTATGGTGGGAAGAAGCCATGGAGGGAGGGCTGCAGGAAGGATGGTGGTGAATGTTGGAGAACCTCCTCTGGGGTTAGGGGTAGAAAACAAAAGTGATTTGGCTCTGGCTGGTGTAACTACATGCTTGGAGATAATTTGTAGAACAGATAGAGACATCTCAAGAGTAGAGAAATTGGTGAAAAGGTAATTAGTGGGAAAAGCAGGCCTGGAAACTATGAAAGTTCACCTTGTAGTTGTCTTGGGAGAGCATTTGGAGCAGAAAAAAATCATGTTGGGGAAATGATCATTTCCTAATGTCTTCGGTAATTTGTTTGAAAGGGGGAAGTCAGCAACCTAAGTTTTGGAGACTAGTATGATTTTTCCTGAAAATCAAGTGACAAAGAGTGGAAACACTTTTTTTTTTTAAACCTACTATTGATTATCCCAGATTTAAGGCATCATTTATGATTTCCCAATATATCATGATTCCCAAGGAATTGTGACTGAAAAAGGATAGGACCCATGATCTGGGTATTATTAAAACCTTTCGTTAGCATCTTACACTGCCTCATTGACACAGGGAGTCTGTCTGGAAGAAGATTCTTTTCTAATCATGCATGTTTGTTTTGCTACTGAGGGGACCGCCTTAGCAGTGTAGACAGTCATCTGTGAAGTTGGCTTCCTCACTGAACAAGATCCTCTCTGGGAATGGGTCACCTTTTCATGCTTGATTGATGACACTGATGATTCTGCATCAAATAAGACCTCACATAGACCTCAGAATCTAGGTTATATCATGCTGTTCCTGTTCCTCATACGTGTGTGTGCGCACGTGTGTGTGTGTGTGTGTGTGTGTGTGTGTGTGTATGAGAGAGAGAGAGAGAAAGAGAGAGAGTGAGTTGTAGAGCTGTAGCATAAGTTTTCAACATTCTTATTTTGAGTTCTTGGAAATGTGCCCTGAGGTTGGCTGGGGGTGGAGAAACAAAAGGGTGGAGATCACTGTGGAGATGCAAGAAAAGGGGAAGGAAATTTGGGAAGGAGGATGAGACAGGGCAGAAGGTAGGCTCACATATTTGCCCTTTTCCTTGTCCACTTTTGGAGGCAGTCTCTAACTGGCACAGTGAAGAAGTGGGGACTAGTTACTGCCCTGGAACAAAGTAGGGTGGGGTGGGGTGTAGCCTGGAGGAAGCCTCATCTGCTCATCTCCCCACTTAGTGCATTGTAGTATCATTTACCCTCTCTAGACCTAAAACCCTATTTGCAACATGGGGGTATGCATACCGGCCCACTATTTATTACTACAGATGATGTGAGAATGAATTCAGGAAGCTCTACCACTTGCTGTCCTTAGTCTAGGAACATGGCTTGACATGCTCTTTAAGTTGTTGTCAGCCCCTCTCTGAGCCTCACTGTGACCTTATTTCTAGAAGGAGATGAAATTTCAAGAGAACCTGGGTAAAGTCAGATTGAGGCTATCTTGCAGCTGCTGGTAAATTTGGTTGCAATTTTGAGTTCTGAATTGGTTCAATGGTAGTGTTATATGAGAAAGGGTAATTTCTGTGACACATTCTTAGCTGTGTTGCAAGCCAGGCCCAATCCCAGACCCCCCAGACCAGGGCTTGGTATTCACAAAAGGACCTTTATGGTGTGCTTCTTGGGAGCTTGGTCAGCCTGGTTACTTAAATGAATCCCCTCCTCATTTCTGCCTCTAGAATCAGCACAGATGTCTACTGTCTCAGTTCCACAACTGATGCTCCCACAAAATAGAAGGCTTTTGGGTACACGGGATAGGCATGCATCCAGAGAGATAGAAAGAAGTTTGAAGGGAGGTAGAGCAAGAAAGGTGGCGAGTGGTATGTCTGGTAACCCTTGGCTGAACTTTGGGTACACACTATTTCGGGGTCTGCTGAGCTGTCATAATACACCTGGTACCTTATTGAGATCCATGTGTGTGTTCCCTGAAGGGAAAAGGCCAGTGCCTCTCCAGGTCTCAAAGAAAAGAGTTCAACTCCAGTTGGAAGACACTTGAGCATTGTCCCTTTAAAAAGAAAATTTAAATGATGCCCCCTCTCACTCCAATTTCCTCTAGGAATTTTTTTAAGAGAAAAAAAGAGACCAAACTTGGAATGGGT